GGAGGGGGGCGCGGGATCCCGGACCGGGCGGGGAGCTGTCGCGGGCGCGGGGTCCCGGGCGGGGCGGCTAGGTGGAAGGGGCGCGGTGTTCTGGGCTGGTGGAGGGGTCCGCCCTTTGTCTTGGTTCAGCCTCGCGGCGGGGTCGGCGGGGGCTGCAGGATTGTCCTGGCTTAGTACTCGGCCCAGCCTCACCGCGGTTCTCTCTGGAGGAGCTTCCGAGCCTGGAAGTAGAGCTTCGAAGCTGCTGGAGCCCCACAGCGGGTCGGTAGCGGATGTCCAGGTGCCAGGCCCCTTGAGAATTGGGGGGGGGGCACTGGTGCGGCGCAGGGGGCACCACTCCACTCGGGAAGGAGTCCTTCAGTCACCGCGTGCCCCAGCGGAGGCAGGAAAGCACAGTGCCATGGGACGTGCGACTTTGAAGGAAGCCGATTCTGTTTCTGCACTCAGCGGCCCTGCGGTGGGCGTGCGTCCTCATTCACTGTGCTGCCAGGTGCTGGGACCCTGGGGATCAACAGACAGTTCTGGGGGACTGACCGAGGAACAGGGCTCGAGAAGGAAGTGTATGACCTAGGGCCAAGCTGATGTGTCAGAAGGTTCCAGAAAGGCAGTATTGCTGGAGAGTGGCCTCCTGTGGGTCAGTGGAGGGGGCAGGGAGTCCTCAGACTCAGCCTCTGGGCCTGGGGGAAGATCAGGGAAGCTGGGAGTGTCAGGGTTGGGCCTGTTTGAGAAATGTGCTGGCTGCCTGTGTGGAGTACCCATGTGATCAGCAGCGGAGCCTCCCGCAGATCAGGCAGCCTGATGACCTCTGTTCCAGGGCTTTACCAGTCGGATTGCCTCGGGGCCAGTATTTTTCTCCACTCCTGCTAGCCCAGGCTTTGTTGAGTTCTGTTAGCCCAGCAAAGCACCCTTCTTGTGTGACCCTGCTGAACGTTTATTTCAGCGCATGACTGTTGTTCTCCTAATTTACTTCCAGTGTGTGGGTGTGTGTGACGTTTCCGAGGCAGCTGTCTGCACTGTGTAGGGAACGGTTTGGTCTGGATTGAGTTGTAAGCACAGATGTGGAGTGGGGACTTTTTTTACCGTAATAGATGGATAATATGCCAAAATTCTGTCTCTCTCAGTGGCTAGCGGATGTGTGCATAATTGCAGCGGTGTGTCAGGAGTGGCCCTGATTGATTGACCCCTCTGTTACTCGTAGTGCCCTGGAGTTCGGAGAGGTGTGCGGAGGCCCTCCTGCGTGAGTGGGCTGTCCTTTGGTGACTTTAATTTGTTTCCTCCTCAGGGAATTAGACCAGAGCTGTTGCTGTGGTATTTCAGCTGAAAAGCAGCTTCTTTGGCCGCACGGCATTCCACTCACTGTAATTCGGTGGGAAGCTGCCTGTCCTTTGCTTTGGCTCATAGTAATTACCTCTGTCTGGTGGATACAACCCAGTTCCTTGGTGGGTGGTAGTGGGCTGCTGTCTCTCTCCTCAGCAACAAGTTCAAAGGGGAGGAATGATGTGCTGTGAGGGTGCTTATCCCCCAGGTATCCTGGGGGTCTGCGTTTGCCTTTCCTCGGAGAGGGGCACTGTGGGAGCAGTGAGCGCTCCCCATTCAGAGTATGTGCTCAGTGTGGGAGTTTTGCTGCTTGTCATACTGTAGGAATGTGACTACACTGTTGATGATGTTGGTCTTCCTTGCAAAGGTATTGGGGTTCTTCAGAGAAACAGAACCCGTAGGGTATCTATAGCTGTGGAGAAAGAGATGTATTATGAAGGATTGGCTCACGTGATTGTGGAGGCTGGGAAGTCCCATGACCTGCGGTTTGCAGGTTGGAGTCCCAGGAAAGCTGCTGGAATTCAGTCCATGTTGGAAGCACCCGGGACCCAGTGTCTGAGGGCAGGAGAAAATAGGTGTCCCAGCTTCAGCAGAAAGAGTAAATTCCCTATTCCTCTGCCTTTTTTGTTCGTTGGGGCCCCTCTATGGATTGGGTGATGCCCTTGCATTGGTGAGGGCAGTATTCTTTATTCGGTCTACCAGTTTGAACGCCGATCCCCTGAAACACCCGGGAATGTTTTACCAGCTACCTGCGCCTCCCGTAGCCCAGTCAGGTTGACACGTAAGTTAACTGTCACAGCAATCCCGGGCCAACAGTTTCTGATGTCTTACTATGTGTTTGGGGACACAGGGGGGGAGCGTGGGGACACAGGACCCAGGGCACACTGAAGATCTGTCGAGGGAGGCTCCAGGAATCACAGCGGCCTCCACAGGCCGTGGAGCCCGCCCTGTGTGTGGGGTAAGACTCCGTCCCAGAGTCTCATCTGTACATCGGGGGTGGGGGGGGATGACCCTGAGTACCAGCTGCCTGAAGGATGCAAAAGAGCTCTGTTGTGGCCTGTGCAGGTCCCCCCCTGACTGCTCCTCACGAAGGGCACTGGATTTGGAGGGGGGCTTGCTGTTCCTCGCCTGCCCGTCTCCTGTTGTAAGGGGTTACAGCATGTATACAGATGGTGCCTGTTATCTGTGCATACAGATGGTCCCCGACTTACACGGGTTTGACGTAAGATTTTTCTTCTTCGTGGTGATGCGAAAGGGACATGCATTCAGGAGAACCAGTGCTTGGAATTTGGGGTGTGGGTCTTTGCCCAGGCTAGCGATGTGCGGTCCTGTCCTGGGGCTGGGCAGCCCCGCGGTCGCACAGCCATTCTGTCAGTCACTTTGGGTACAGTATTCGGTCAGTTACAGAGCTATTCAACACTCTCTCGTAAGACAGGCCACGTGCGAGCTGATTCTGCCCAGGTGTCGGCCAACGGAAGTGTTCTCAGAACGTTTAAGGTTGGCCAGGTGTATTAACTGGATTTTTGATAGGCTGTTTTCCACCTACAGTGGGTTTCTTGGAATGTAACCCATCCTAAATCAAGGAAGGGCTGTACAACACTCATCGCTCTTTTGTTTCTACTGAGATAGGAAGATGAGCGGGACTTTTTGTCTGACGAACTTTGCACCCTTGTTTCACGTGTGAAGCTAGTGAAGTAAGTGCTCTGTCACCGAGCAGAGTGGGCACGGTGTCCGCGGAGGGGCTGGCCGGCGCCGCCCTCTGGCCTGAGGTGTGACACATGCACAGTGAGTGTGTGCTTCCTCATTTCTTTACTTTTACAAAACAGATCTCTTTATACGCGCTAGTGCGTGTCCTCTGTCCTGAATGGGCTCCCCTGAATCCCGAGGACACAATGTGACGAGGGGCCACGGGCTGGCATATCCGAACACAAGGATCTTCTTCTTTTGGTCTTTTCATTTAATTTTCAAAGGGAACGATACGTCAAGTTTTCTAATCATTGGTAAATGGACTCTCAGAGATTTCCAGTCCTGGGACTTCCAGAGTCAGGATATGGACACTTAGTGTTAGACTGGGCAAATACGAGGGCAGTTTTTACTTCTCTCTGGCGATCAGTGTGTGGTTTTCTGTGCCCCGGTCTTTGAAGCAGGAGGAAGTGGGTAATGTATGTTGGTCAGATGATAAGGTGTTTCTGGAGGGAGAGAATGGAGCAACCTTTCCCCAGCGCTGCCCCGTTTTCAGGAGTGCTGTCTAACCGAGGCTTCCGCCTGTGTTGACAGCTGCCCGGTGCTTGGCGGCAGAGGGGGCAGGAGGAGGGCTGGTCTCCACGGACTCTTGCTCTCTAGTCCAGAGGCCCTGGGGTGGACGAGCTTGATGTGTATCGTGGAGCTTAGTTCACACGAGTCCAGCTATCAAAAAGACTTTAAAAAGGAAAAAAAAAAATCCCCATGAAAAAGTTCCTGTCCGCCCCGCTCCCTGTGGCCACTCAGTTCAGATTGATGAGAAGTACGTCTTGTCTTGTAGAATTTTTCAAGAAGGACTTGAGAGTGGGTGTGTCAGCAGCTCTGCAGATTTTCAGTGGCTCCCTGCCTACCTCTTTGTTTAGAAAAATGTCAGAGCTGCAAAAAGTTGAAGGAATAAATAGCACAGTGAACTTGCAGATGCCTCTCTGTTCTCCAGCACTTCCTGTTTGCTTTGCCCCTCCCTCCCCATGTCTGCTTGTTACTGTTTTAACCAAACCGTCTGAGAGTTGGTTGTCTGTGGCCCTGCGCCCCGAAATTCCTCAGGGTGGGCCTCCCGAGGATGAGGGCGTTCTTAATCACAGTTGGGGCTGTACCGAGCGAAGTCTGGATGGTTAGCATTGGTGCGCTCCTCGAACACCACGACGTAGCAGAGGGTTTCTGTGCTCTCTTCACCAGTCGTCCCAGTAACGTCCAGCTCCATTCATCTGGAACACCTCCTCCCTGTGCTGTCAGAAAACAAGTTTGTGGAAGGCCCCTCGGTTGGTCTCGTCTGGTGTTGTCTAACTTGGATTCTGGTGCATTTGGACAGGATTCACCCACACGTGGCTGCGTCCTTCCCCCTGCACCCCTGGGGGCACCTGCCAGCATTTTGTCCCATTGCCCTGTCCTTATCATGGTGGTACTTTGATTACTTCTTCATAAGTGATTGAACTGGGGGGGGGAGGAGCTTTGAGACCATAAGTGTCCTGTCACCTCACAGACGGGCACAGTGGTCTCAGTGTCCAGATTTACCAAGGTGATTGCAGAATGGCGGGTCTTCACCCATTGCTTCTCCTTGGCTGCTTGACCTTCCCTCTGTTTGTTCCATGTCCAGGTGAAGTCCTGGACCATTCAAGAGGTTAGAGTTCATTACTGTCAGTCACTTTGATTTGTCATTGTCCCCATTTGGCAAGGAGGACCCCACCCCCTTCACGTGGGCATCTGGTCCTTTTGTCATTTACCCCTAAGTTGGTGCCACTCTGACGCAGTAGTCTGTCCGAGGCCCATCTTGTCCTTTCTCTGTCCCAGTGCCAGGATCAGCTGTTTCTCCCAGGAGTCCTGGCTCCGTTTGGTAGGGGAACGGTGTCTAGAAACTAAGGCCCCTGTACGGCCAGGTGTTGTCCTCCGGGCCCCTCGGTGGACAGAGTGGGACGGAGCCCCAGGCGCCAGTGCCCGGTTGCTGTCGTCGGCCACCGTGACCCTGCGGTGCTTGCAGAAGTCGAGGTGCTTCACGGCTTGTCCGTTCTCCTTCCCTTCGCGGAGCTAAGTCAGGTGTGTTGTGAGAGCAGCGCTTGGCGGGAGGCGTCGGCACACCGCCGGGGCGCTGGGAGGGGCTGTCCGGCGGTGGCCGCTGCGGGGCAACATGTGACGACCAGGCTGTCGCTGTGTTGGAAATAGAGCAGGGCTGTACTCGGTTGGCGGAATGGAGGAGAGTCAGACCCACTGGCACCCCGGCCGCTTCACGGCGCCAGGCCCCTCTGTGCGCGCCCTGCTCCGCGGCATGCCCACCCCTCGGGATGTCCCCCTCACGTTCTGCTGGGTCTCCTCTGTCCACGGGGCGTCCCGTACCCTCCGCTTAGGCTTCGTGAGGCCCTCACTGCGCCTGTCACGAACTAGAGGTTAGCATGTGTCTTCCTTTCTCTTTCGAGATGAATTTTATGTCCGACGAAATGCAGGGTCTTAGGTGTGCCGTGGGGTGAGTGATACCTGTGTCACCCTGGCCCCTGTCAAGCTGCTGGAACGTGCCCATCTCTCCCGAAGGTTCAGGCCACCGCTGCCCCTTTCCCAGCGTAGAGGAGTTGATCCAGGGCTGCGCGTCCAGGGAATCCAGCAGGATTGGTCTTTGTGTCAGTTTCCATGGGCCCCCATAATGTTCCTAAGATTCGTCCGTGTCTTCTGCATACGATGCACTTCCTCTCCTGGTTAGGTACTGTTCTGTTGTACGACCGCACCTGTTAGCCCATCCTTCTGTGCTTGGGCATCTGGGCTGTTTGCAGCATTTTGCTGTTATAATAAAGGTGCTAGGGTGGTCAATTGGTTAAGCATCTGCCTGTGGCTCAGGTCCTGATCCCAGGGTTCTGGGATGGAGCCCACCCCCCCCATGGGCTCCGTGCTCCACGGGGAGCCTGCTTCTCCCTCGCCCTCTGCTCCCCCCATGTGTGCTCACTCGAGCTCTCTCTCTCAAATAAATCTTTAAAAAAAAAATGTTGCCATGAACATTTCTCTACAAGTCTTCCTGGGGGCTTATGTTCTGATTTTCTTGAGTGAAATACTTGAGTGGGGTTGCTGAGTCCTAGGGGAGACGTAGGTGGAACCCTTTTGCGCTCCCATCCACACTGTGTGAGACTTCCCAGTTGTTCTCTGTCTGCACCAACACTTAGTGTTGCCAGTCTTTTTAATGTTAGTCATTCTGGTGGGTGTAAAGTGGTATCTGGCTATGACTTTAAGTTGCAATTCCTGGTGACTAATGAGGTTGCACACAGAGCTCTTTTCCAAAGTATGTGTGTATGTTTTGAGTCATGGGGTGTGGTAAATCGCAGCCTGATAGGGGATGTGCATGTTTTATTCATACCCTAGTTCTTTACTTCTTTTTTTTTTTTTAAAGATTTTATTTATTTATTTGAGAGAGAGAGAATGAGAGAGAGCACATGAGAAGGGGGAGGGTCAGAGGGAGAAGCAGACTCCCTGCCGAGCAGGGAGCCCGATGCGGGACTCGATCCAGGGACTCCAGGATCATGACCTGAGCCGAAGGCAGTCGCTTAACCAACTGAGCCACCCAGGCGCCCTAGTTCTTTACTTCTGATTAGCTTGAGCTCCAGAGCTGTTAGCTGTGTGGGGTTTAACCCCTTTGTGGGTGAGGAGTGGCCAGAGCCGCGGAGCGCCCTGCAGGATTGGCATCCGCTGATTCCGGGGGGCTTCTCCCGCAGGGCTTGGGGGGGACTGGCAGGGCCAAGGCCTGGCTTTTGTCTTGTGGGCCTGGCATTGCTGTGGCTTTTGGTTCCGAAGAGAGTGTGTGCTGAGGAGCCAGGGGGCCTGGGCTGGCTAGGGCCCGTGGGACGCGTCTGGGCGCTCATCTCCTCTTCCCTGGAGGCACTGCCTTTGTGTGCCGAGGCCTGTTTCCTGCACGACCCCTTGCAGATAGGAGCCTTGGTGCTGTGTCTGCGTCCCCCCGGGGGCCCAGGGGGTGCTCCCTGAAGGCGGGCTGCCAGGAGAGGATGTGCGGCTCTGGGGTTGGGAGTGGAGCCTGTCCCCCTCCCCCGCAGCCCTCCTAAGCGCGTGTGTGCCTTGCCTGACTCTCTCTGATGTGTGTTCGTCCCCACAGCTTGCTCTCAGAACACTAACAGAACCTGTGAGGAGTGCCTGAAAAATGTCTCCGTAAGTAGCATGGCCACCTCCTTGGCCCCGGGGGCTCTTGTGTGCCTGACAGTGACCTATTGCCGCTGCCTGAATTGCTCCCCACAAAAGAGAACCATCCTCCTAGCGAGCTCCTGTGGCTTTCAGTAACACGGTTATGACATGGTTGTAGACATGGGAAACTTGCGTTATGTGAAAATGGAGGATTTACCAAAAGCTGTTCACCGGGACCAGGCCGCTGACATGGAGGGTGTTCTCCGACGGCCAGAACGAAGAGGGTTGACTACTGTTCGCTGAGCGTGCTCTGAGCATGGTGAATGCGCCATGTAGCTCTGGGAGAGCCCGGGCTTCTTCCTCACGTTTGTAATGGACTTGCACCCTGGCCTGGGACACAAATACCTGATTTCCCATCCTTTTGAAGAACTCAGAGAAGACTCTGTAAGACGGTTACCTTCAGGATTCAAAGTACCAAGTGCAAAGCCCTGACCTGAGGACCCATGAGGGCTACCCGAGCACACGTCTGGGCCGCCATGTGCACCTGGTGCCGGGAGTGCTTGAGTGGCCGGGGGGGGGGGGGGTCTGGTGCCGTCTCTGCACCTGCATCGCCCCTGGTGTTCTTAGGGACTCAGACAGGAGTGTCTGTGAGGTGCCCTCCAGCCCTGAGGTTCTGGGCTGGTGCCTTTGAGCCTTAATGCACTGTCTTTTTTTTTTTTTTTTTAAGAATTTATTCACTTGAGAGAGAGAGGATGAGCAGGGGAGGGGCAGAGGGAGAGAGAGAAGCAGACTCCCCACTGAGCAGGGAGCATGACACGGGGCTCGATCCCAGGACCCTGAGATCATGTCCTGAGCCGAAGGCAGACGCTTCACAGACCTAGGTGCCCCCAGATGCACTGTCTTTAAGACGGCCAGGCACCCCATGCAGTTGGAGAGGTCACAGTGTTTTCCAAGGTCACTTAAGTCCACTGACAAGGACTTACTGAGCTCCTCCTGTGGGCCTGCTGGGTCCCGCCTGCCCTCCTGCAGACGAACTGAGATAGGCACCCCAGCTGAGTGTGTTGGGTGCTACTGATGGGAAGGTGATGGGGAGATGGGGTGATGGTGAGTGGGTTGCTCAGGGGAGGCCATGTGGGGGAGGGGAGGTCACACATGCTTGGGGGAAGAATGTTCTGGGCAGAAGAAGTGGCTGTGCAAAGACTGGGCAGGGAGCCACCTGGCAGCTTTCAGGACATGCACGGAGGCCAAGGGGCTGGGCAGGGTGCCTGGTGGGAGAGGGTTTTGAGTAACCTCAACCCTGGTGGTCCAGATGGGGTGGAGCTGATGGGATGGGGTGGGGGCTGAGGCCTTCCAGTCTGTCACCTGAGGGCGAGCAGGAGGTGTAGTGGGGCTCAAATCCCGGACAGTCTGATTCTTGGGTGCGTATGTTGCATTTCTGACGTTTGTCGAACATCATCTCTTTCAGTGTCTTTGGTGCCACACCAACAAGGCGTGCTTGGACTACCCGGTGAGCAGGATCCTGCCGCCCAGCTCCCTCTGTAAGCTGAGCTCTGCACGCTGGGGCGTTTGCTGGGGTAAGTCTTCGTTTTCATGGAGTTCTCGCAAAATCTGTGCTGTTTTGGAAAGTCTGGTTGTGCTCAGTGAACGTAAGCTGCCAGAACGCGTGCTCTCTGCAGGAAGTCAGGAAGCCAGTGAGAGAGTGTGCTTTCTGGGAGGGCTGCTGGCAGTCCCTGGGGTCTGGAGGCCCAGCTGCAGGACCATCAGCCTCGGCTCTGCACTGGGTCCCTCTGCATCCCGGGATGGCGGAGAGCAGAGTGTGCGTTTGGGGACTGTTTCTGGGTGTGTCGGCACACGGTGTCTCGGCTGCATCTGTGTACTGGGAGTCCTGCTCAGCATGGTCAGGCCCTTCTTTCCTGACTTGTCCCTTTCTGTCTGCAGATGGTGGGTTTTCCAGGCACTCTCTCTGTGGGTCTGTTAACCCTTTGTGAGACCCCAGAGAGACCAGTCCTGGACCAGGGAGCCCAGGGCATTCTGAGCCTGAGCTGTTAAGGTGTTCTTAAGATGAGGCATGACTTCTTTTTTTTTTTTTTTAAATGTTTTATTTATTCATGAAAGAGAGAGAGAGAGAGGCAGAGGCAGAGGGAGAGGGAGAAGCAGGCTCCCCGCCTAGCAGGGAGCCCGATGCGGGACTGGATCCCAGAACCCTGGGATCATGACCTGAACTGAAGGCAGATGCTTAACCATCTGAGCCACCCAGGCGCCCCGAGGCATGACTTCCAATGAAGCGCACATGCTGTTTCCCTGTCCTCGTAGACCCTAGTGTCTAACAGACACACATGTATGCGTACACCTACAGCTGTTCAGGGAGTGGAGTGAGGTTTTAACACACGTAGACAGGTAATCTCCGCTTAGCACTCGCAGCCTGACCGGGTCAGGACCCCATGTCAGCCCCTGGAGCAACTTTCCATCAGCACAGGTGAGTGCTGCTCATGCTGCCCTTCCCCTAAAGGAAATCACGTGCTGTTTGTCCGACTTTCCATGCAGTCGTGTGTCTGAGACTCCTCTGTGTCCCGGCCCATCTGTCCGGCGGCTGCTCAGTGCCCTGCAGGCGTCCACGTGGACGTCCCAGTGCTGCTGTAAACGTGCTCGTGGGGCCGGCTGCCCACACTCACTTCCACTGTGCGTGTACTGAGTAGCACAGTCACGGGGTCGCCGCGCGTAGTAGGTCTGCAGGCGTTTTCCCAGAGTGGCATTGCCAATTTACGCTCCTCCAGGTGGTGCGGGCGTTCCCGTTGTCCCATGTCCCTGCCAACACTCGGGGTAATCAGTCATCTTCATTTTAGTCCATCTGGTGGGTGTGAAGGGGTATCTCGTTGTGGTTTTAATTTGCATTTCTCTGATGACTAATGATGTTGAGCACCTTTCAAGTGGGGTCACTTTTGATAATTCTGTGCAATGAAGTTCCTGCTTTGGGGCCGTGGGGCTGGCTGAACGCCTGGCACGGGACAGATGAGAGCCACAGCGTGGGGGGCGGGGAACAGGGAGCAAGCAGGGACTGTGGGAGGCAGGCTCTGCAGTCAGGACAGGTGGCCTGCTTCCTAAGAGAAGGTGCACGTGGTGTCGTTCATGCCGGGGCTGCATGGAACTGAAGCCTGCCACTCAGGGATCGGTGGGGATGCTCCGGGTCCCCGTGTGCACTGAGGAGGGTTGGGAAGGCGCATTGGGCTGAGGGCGTATTGGCCTTCTCTGTGGGAACAGAATGGGCAGGGGGCTTGTGCTTGTGCCGTCTGGGGAGCCCGGGAGGGCCCCCAGCCCCGCCTCGATGTCAGGGCAGCATGTAACTGTAATTCCAGACCTCACGCCATGGGTGCTCTCTGTTCTGACAACTTTAGAATCATCTTATCCAGCTCTCGGCAAAATTGTTTTGGGGTTTTAACTGTAATTACATGTTCGATTGGAGAAACATGAAGTCTTTAGGATGTTACCCCATTGGCAGAAGCAGGTGTCCCTGCCCCACTCAGGTCACCCTCATGGCCTCAGGCTCCGTAGCTTTTACGTGGAAGGTTCATGGGATGGGGGCCTGCAGTGTTTTTCCCCATTGTGATCGGGATTTCTGTATTTTTTTGTTTTAAGATTTTATTTGTTTGAGGGGCTCCTGGGTGGCTCGGTTGGTTAAGCGACTGCCTTCGGCTCAGGTCATGATCCTGGAGTCCCGGGATCGAGTTCCGCATCGGGAGCCTGCTTCTCCCTCTAACCCTACCCCCTCTCATGTACTCTCTCTCTCTCATTCTCGCTCTCTCAGATAAATAAATAAATCTTTAAAAAAAAAAAAAAAGATTTTATTTGTTTGACACAGACACACACAGAGAGAGGGTGAGAGCGGGCACAAGCAGGGGGAGCGGCAGAGGGAGAGGGAGAAGCAAACTCCCCGCCGAGCAGGGAGCCCGATGCGGGACTCGATCCCAGGACCCCCCGGGTCATGACCTGAGCTGAAGGCAGATGCTTAACCGAGCCACCCAGGTGCCGCACGGGATTTCTGTATTTTTAACTGGTTTTAGCTGCTAGTCAGAAAAGCTGTTTTGGAGGGGCAGACATATTTCTGAGCCAGGTGTCTTGCTGATCTGATTGGTTTTTAAAGTGGATTGTTTGCAAGTTCTGTCGTCAAAACCCACTGCCATCCGCTTGTGAAGGTCTTTTCTGATGTTGTTGCCATCGTGACTGCTTGGTGTGCTGGCTCTTCCAGAACAGGAGGAGAAACCACATGACTGTAGCTCAGAAGGCATTTCATCAGATGTGACCCTGATTCTGATCGTCAGCGTAGGTGCACAAACTGGAGGCCAGCCCGTGGGGCTCGCGGCCAACCTGTGTGGAGTGCTTGGCTCTCGGCGGCGGCCTCCCTGTCCCCACCCGCCGCCCCGGGCGGAGCTCGCTCCCGAAACTGCCTCAGTGGCCGTCTGAACGGGGCGAGTGGACATATTTGCAAGAGCACTCTCAGGGCTCTTTGATTGGCTCTGGTTCGAATTAAATAGAGAACTGTTGGCGGGTTTCGCTTTATAAATCCTTCAGAGAAGTCGGAAAGAATCGTGAAGCTTGTTTTAACTACTTGTCTCAGGAGTTGGCTCTTGACGGGGAATCATAAAATCGTTGGCAGCTGATGAGGCAGCCGTCTTCAGGACCTGTGGGCGGTGCCAGGGCTCCACGGTCCCTCCTCTGCCTGCTGGGGTCAGAAGTTGTCCTGGGGAAGTAAATGAAGGTGACCTTGAACAGCATAGGGGTTAGGCGCGCTGACGCCCCGGGCACTTGAAAATCTGCATGTGACTTCTTTTTTTTTTTTTAATTTTATTTTATTATGTTATGTTAGTCACCATACATTACATCATTGGTTTTTGATGTGGTGATCCATGATTCATTCTTCTCGTATAACACCCAGTGCTCCATGCGGAACGTGCCCTCTTTAATACCCATCACCAGGCTAACCCATCTCCCCCACTCCCCTCCAGAACCCTCAGTTTGTTTCTCAGAGTCCATCGTCTCTCATGGTTCGTCTCCCCCTCTGATTTCCCCCCTTCATTTTTCCCTTCCTTCTCCTAATGTCCTCCATGCTATTCCTTATGTTCCACAAATAAGTGAAACCATATGATAATTGACTTTCTCTGCTTGACTTATTTCACTTAGCATAATCTCCTCCAGTCCCATCCATGTCGATGTAAAAGTTGGGTATTCACCCTTTCTGATGGCTGAGTAATATTCCATTGTATATATGGACCACATCTTCTTTATCCATTCATCTGTTGAAGGGCATCTCGGCTCCTTCCACAGTTTGGCTATTGCGGACATTGCTGCTGTGAACATTGGGGTACATCTGCATGTAACTTCTGATTTCCTGGAAACTGAACTGCTGCCAGCCTGCCGTGGACTGAAGGCTTGCTGGTAACAGAGCAGTCGAGGTGCGCGCGCGCGCGCGTGTGTGTGTGTGTGTGTGATGTGCACCACGTGCTGTGTTCTCAGGGAAGTAGGCTAGAGAGAGGGAAACGTTAGTGAGAACGTCATCAGGAAGAGAAAGTGCACATACAGTATCGTCCTGGATTTGGGGAACCCACGCCCACAGATTCGTGGACCCAGACGGTTCAGACTGTGCTCGAGGGCCCGCGGTGTCATGCTGTGGACTTGGGTTTAAGGATTGGATAAGCTGCCCCAGGCTTCAGTTCCATTTCCAGAGTTCCACAGAGTCTAAAAGTGTGTCAGGAGAGTCTGTGCGCCCAGCGGGCACTCTCCTTCCTGTGTCTGCTTGGTTCACGGACCCCAGGCTTGCCGTGGGGAGAAATGCCGCCCCGTGTGTGGCCTGGGCCGTGGCGGTTGATTGAGAAATCGCTCACAAGTCACACACCCGCACTGAGAGGAGGCCTGGGGGCAGGCAGCTCTAGGACTGTGGGGGGCTGCTTTGGGCTCCCCGCGCCCCGTCCTGACTCCCTGACTCCCGGTGGACCTTGCAGTGAACTTCGAGGCGCTGATCATCACGCTGTCGGTGGTGGGGGGTGCCGTCCTCCTGGCCGTGGCCGTGTGCTGCACCTGCTGCTGCTGCCGGAAGAACAGGAGCCGGAAGCCGGATAAGAGCGAGGAGAAGGCCGCACGGGAACGCGAGGAGCGCAGGATCCGGCAGGAGGAGAGGTGAGGCCCCGGGTCACTGGGGCGTCCCTGGGGCACGGGGCCCTGCCAGGCCACGGGGAAGTTCCTCCTGCAGCCCAAGTTCTCTCCAGCTTTGGACAGACTGTGGGTCGCGCGCCGGGATTGTGGGACAGGGTGTGGGCGCGGCGCGGGTCCTTGTCTTCCCGGGCTGCCCCGGGCAGGACAGAGGCCCAGCCGGGGCGAGCCGGGTATTGGGGGCACCTGCCTGCCTGCCCCTGGGGCGGGCCTGCTGCAGCCAGTGTGTGGAGACGCTGTCCTCCCCTGCTGACGGAGCACTTTGGGGAGCTGGGGCCAGGCCAGGGCGGCAGGTGCGGCGGGTCACCAGGCCCTGCCTGATGGGAGCGAGATCGTGGCTCGGAGACATGCTGCCGCGTCAGGCCAGCTGCTGGTGGGTGGGCGCTGTCCCCGCAGAGTCATGGCCCCTAAGGAACAACTAACACATGTACATTCCCAACCTTCTGTAGGACCTAGTGTCAGATTTTCACTCCTCAGTGTGTTTTCTTTACACGAAAAATAGTTTAAGAAATCATAGTATTTGAATTGTCTTTATTGAAACAAAGATTCAAATGACAGGACATTGGAACGTCCTCAGAAGACAGTGCTGGTCGTCACCCTGCTTGGCCAGGTGGCCACCTGCGCCTGTCCCCAGCCTCTCTGCCGAAGGAAGTGAAGGGTACATCTTTTAATGTTATGTAATAGTTTGATACTAAATGAGATATCTTTGTTTTTTAGGAGAGCAGAGATGAAATCAAGACATGATGAAATCAGAAAAAAATATGGTAAGTGTTGATGCGATGTCTATGTCCGTTCCGTTTGGTTGGGAGTTGATGCCACACCATGAGATGTGACTGCTTCCCTCGTCCACCTGTCCGGGTTGAGCGGCTGGGTTTACTCCGTGTGGACTGGAATGAACTAACCCACGAATGTCTTGAAAAGATGAAGCCTTGGCATATTTTTCTCTCGCCAGACTTCCTAGGACTGCTCGCTCCCGAGGGGGTGGAACTTGGCCGGGCTCCATGTGGCTCCTAGCCTGTCACCCTGTTTGTGTGACGTGGGCTGTGTGTGATGACCACGGGCCTCCTCCGCCTTGCCACCCTCGTGTTCACGTCGCTCTCGCACCTGACTTCTGTGGGCTCAGCTCTCCATGCTGCCCAGGCATTTCGTCTGGTTTGTTTTGGTTTTTGTTTGGAGAGACTGGGGCGGGGGTGACTCATTTTTTACTGTGTGAGAGCATTAAATCTGCTCCCCTGTTGACTTGGCTGTTGGGATTGGGAGACATGAACTCACTGGGCCTCCCCAGTGACCACTACGGGGCCTCCAGCCCTGGGCCACGGCACTTCCTTTGACCTCATGACCTGAGGATCACATGCTCAGTCAGGTGGACCGGGCAGCTGGGCTGAAGGCGAACTCTGATCGGGAAAATTCCAAAATCTTTACCGACTAACGTATGCATTTTGGAGTTCTCTGTATAGAGGATCCTGTTTTCCTGGTATTTTAAGATCCCGAGCACTAAAACAGTCAGTCCCCAAGGCTCAGTTCCCTCTGGCGGGGGCCGCTGGCTGCATGCCCCCACCCCCATCCACACCGGCCTCCTCTACTATCACGCCCTTGTGCTGGGTCGCCTCAGGCTGGGGGTGACCCTGCCAGCCTCCAGGTGTTGATTCCAAGGCACAAGGCTGCCCCGACTGCCCCTCCTCCCGCTGCTGGGTCTTCTACGTTTAAGGCGAGATGTCCGGCCACTGAGACAGCCTTCTGTGATTGGCTCCCGCCCCTCAGCCTCCCCTTGGTGCCACTCCTCTCCTGGCCAGCCTGGCGTGTCCGCCTTGCTGCCCTTGGCACTCGCCCTGGGGTCCAGTGCTCATTCCCTGCGTAGGTGGTGATAGACTCCGTGTGGGTGACATTCCCTATCCAGCAGTCTTGGCGCGGTGCCCTCTCTCCCCAGTGCCCACTGAGCGTCCGCTGCCCTCAGCTGGGGCCCCTTGGTTTTCCACAACATTGAAAAGTGCAGAAAGGAGCTTGTTGGCATCTGATTAACAATATAAATACGAGGCAAGAGACATGTCACACAGACTCACACCCAAGTGCCTTTACTGCCAAGCGCAAGTAGCTTTCAGCTTCCCCTTTGTCCGGTTGTGTGCGGGGTTGTGTGCGGGGCCTGGCGGTGGCTCAGGCTGGGCTCCTGGCCCAGGGGCGGTCTCCGTAACAGTGCCCTGGGGCACTTCCTTCCTACCATTTTGATGGTTCCTGTGGCCCTTAATTGCACTGATAAAACCAACTCATGCCTGTTTACACAAAGCCCATAGAGTGGACTGGACTTTGGAAAGACTCAGCTGGTGGAAGAATCCCCAGGGGGCTCCGAGGGGGCCGGGGACAGGCACACGCTGCAGTTAACACACACAATACACGTGTGGACGAAACCCTTCTTGTGGTTTTAGAAGGTGTTTGATTTCCTGATCACAAAACACTTTCTCCCCCTCTGAACTAGACATGGAGCTAGGAGCTGTTTTGCTTTGTCTTTTCCCAACGCAACTGGTGTATTTGTCATTTGGCATCTGAACGCCCTTTACCAAAACCACCGTGGGCTTCCTCCCGAGGCCTGAGGCACGCCGTCCTCCTCCGCAGACGGACCAGCAGCCCTGCACCCCCAAAATCTCCTGCAGCAAGTAGCTGTGTTGCAGTGGCTTGGGGGGTGTTGGTTTGTGGTACAGGGTTCTGAAGAGAGGGAGAGATTGTGTGGGCGTCTGCTCTGCGAGGAGAGCTCCTCGTCTTCGGGTATTCAGCACCGAAGATCTATGACCAGGTACATCGCACTAGCTACGTCAGGATGCTCGACGGTGAGATTGCAGGTCACCTCGCTCTAAGTCCGCCAACATTAAAAGGACGGGTAAAGTAGGATGGTTTTGTGAGTCACCTGTGGTTTGACATTCAAAACGATGAAGTGTCGTGCTCGACCCTGCGCAGACACCATTTCTCTTAAGGCCTCAGTGGGTCTTCGCGTAGAGCTCAGTTGTCCTGCTCTCTTGCATCTCGTTTGCCGTCCTGTGAGTGCATTTATAACCAGGGCTGTTTTGTTCCAGGTTTGTTTAAAGAAGAAAACCCATATGCCAGGTTTGAGAACAACTGAGAGCGCACCCTGCCCCGGGACGCGGCGCCGGTCAGCGGAGCCCCTGCCCCACCGAGGCAGGCCTGCCGAGAGCACAGCGCGCGGCCGCCCGCACACCTGCGAGCTTCTGTCCCCTTCTCTGTATCTCTACTCGGTCACTCGAGACGCTAAGCCTGTCGGGGGGTGGGGGTTGGTTTTGGTTTGGTTGTTAATTTGAGGAGGAAAGACAAACATTGCACCACTGTCTCAGTCGGTAAGCCACCTGCAGGCGGAGCCGCCCACCTCTCCCTCCGTGCCGGCGGCGGGCTGCCCACGGCGGGGCAGGAAGGGCGCCTGTCACCCGGCCGCTGCCCCGTGAGCCCAGCGGCGTGTCCGTGCGGCGCGCTGACTCGGGACGCGCTCTCACCCCAGCCGCGCGGAACAGCACCGAGGGGGGGTCCTGCTCACCTTGGGTCTGTGTTGCGTTTCATTTCATTTTAAATAATTCTTGGATTTCCTTCCTCCACCTAAAACATTTCACCAAAAAACTTCACTTTTTGGACAGTTTTTAAATTTTCATTTGTATCTTTACCAGAACATCACGGTCTTCTCCCAGGGAAGACTTGAGTAACAAATGAAGCTTGAAAGCCGCCTCTCCGCACCGCAGCACTGATGTGGAGCCGCGGGGCCCGGGGAGGCCGCTGCCGCCCTGCTCTCACCTTCCTGCCCGTTGACAGCGGGTGTCAGGCCGTGTGTGCAGCGCACGAGCCTCTCGTGCCTGTCAGGCTGGCTGCACCGCGGTCACTGAGGGGCCTGGGTTGTCCCCAAAGAGGGAGGGACCGAGCACCGCGGCCCCCCTGCGGGGCTCTGCCCACCGGGGAGGCGGGTGTCCAGGTCGGCGGGAGGGATTTCCGCGTGCTTGTCAGACCAGCCCCGTCCTGGAAGCGTGCTCCTGGGGGCGTGTGGTGAGAATCCTGCAGAGGCAGCTTCTCGGGAGGCTGTCCGTGGCCTCCAGGCACACCCCACCGTGGCTTCTGTGGCCGTTCCGTCCCTTTCAGATCGAGATCTAGGACGGCAGTGAATAGACTGCTTCGTGTGAGGGGCGGCAGCAATGATGGACCTGTGTGAACAGCCTGCCTTCAGTCTGAAAATAGGCCCAGGTGCCACACTGCTTCGGAGTAGGAAGACGTTTAGCTTCGGGAAAGCGGGTCGACAGGCACCTACAGAAACGACGTATTCGGCTTTCGTGCTTGTGACCCTGCAGAGACCGCTGTCTCAGGCGTCCAGTCAGGTGCCCGCCATGTCGGCCTGTGCTGTCCTGGAATTTCCACAAGCTGGGAAACTAACCTCTACGAACTCTGTTACTATCTTTCTGACTTCTTGGGCATTTGGTAGCAATTTAAAGTACTATGAAACATTCCCAAGTATTTTATAGCAGCCTGCACATTTTGTCTTACTGTTTATTCATAAGAGAAACTTTGTAACAGACTTCAGCAACCTTAGTATTAACGCAGTAGTACTCCGTAAGCTTGCACTGTGTCTTGATTCTGGGTTGCTGAGCTCCCCGTTTTTCCATACCGTGTATGTAATCCCATCACGGGGTCCTGAGCCCACACCAGGCGGTCTGGAGGGCTGTCGTAGTCCCTACGCTTTTTTCTGAAATAGTCCTAAGAGCAGCCATATATTGTAACCTCAAGGAAACCAGGAAGCTCGGAGTGCCTTAATTTTAACCAGTTTCCGAAAAATGGTTTAATACACACTTTGTTGAATACACTTCGTGTCCTCGTGTCTCATTTCTCTGTGGTGTTAGCATGATTACTTGGAGAGCGGTGGGTAGACTTTCTACGTAGAGACTTTTTTTTTTTTAAGATTTTATTCTAGAGAGAGCGAGCGAGAGTGCGGGCGGGTGGGGTGGGCGCAGAGGGAGAGAGTTCCAACCAGACACCACACCTAATGTGGAGCCCGTCACGGAGCCCGACGCGGGGCTCGATCCCATGCTCCTGAGATCATGACCTGAGCTGAAACCAAGAGTCAGACGCTGAACTGACTGCGCCACCCAGGTGCCCTTCCACATAGAGACCTTTGACCCGTCCCAGGTGTGTGAGCAATCCCAGCTTCGGTACCATGGCCAAGGGGGCAACTGCCGCGTCCTCAAGTTGCCTGTTACCCACCCCCCAACAGCTGTTTGCTGTCCAGCCAGAGACTCGGGCTGGTTTTCTGCCTCCCCCACCCACACCCCCAGCGCTGCTTTCCTTCTGCTTAGCGGGAGTCATACAGAGAATGGGGAGAAAGCAGTTATGCCTTGAGCCTTGTGTCCTTGGCTGTAACTGCCGGCAGACTCCCCCCTCCCCAGGGTGGGGGTCCGCAGTGCCTGGTTGCTGGGGAGCGCCGGTACCTCTTCTGAGCTGCGGCTGAGCCCACGTGATCATCGCTGCCGTTGTGGGATCTCTGGGACATCCTCTGTGCAGTGCTGTCTGAAGTCCGAAGTCCGCGTCGGGCAGGCGATCGGCCCGTCGGTGCCGTGGTCCCCCTGGGAAGTGTGAGCCCGCCCAGCGGGACCCAGGGCCGTGCAGTAGCCGCACTCAAGCACTTCCAGGTTCCAGGGCGGGAACGGGACAGTGCGGGCTCTTCCTTTTGGACGTCCAGGTCCAGATGCAGTCATGGGGTATCCTTGTGCCCAGCGTATCCTTAGGGCATCCAGGCCCCATGGGAAACACTCGCCTCGGATTCTTTGAAACAGTTCCAAGTCTGATTGGGGCAAGACCAGGGCTTTGAAAGGAGGGGGTTGGTGAATGAAGCCCTTCCGTTAGGATGTCTGCTCTTGAGGAAAGGTCCCCTTGTTGGGTTGTAAGAAGCACGCGATCAGATGGGTAATCAGTGGCCGCGTCCCACCAACTCGTTCTTGGTGTCCTTCCAGAGCCAGTCTGCGCCGCGTGCGGCTCCGGGTCTGCTCCGAGCACGTGGCCGCCGCCTCCCCGGGGACCTTGGCGTGCCTCATCCCACCGTCCCATTGGGAGGCTGGCTGTCTCCACTCCTGCCTGTCCGTGCTGCTTTGTGTGAGCTGTGAGTCCATTTCCAGAAGTAGAACTCTGGATGAAAGTGCCTGTGATGCCGAATTACCCTCCAGACAGAGGACACCTTGTTCGAAGCGATCTGTGACGCTTTGTCAGCGGGTGGAGGTAAGCGGCCCATGGGGTTTTGCCAAGGCCTCATCTGGAAGTCGGGAACTGAGTGGATGGTTCCTGGGCCCCCTGAGCCGGGGCGGCAGGCCTGTGTGCTGGTGCAAGGCGGTCTGGGGATGGGCAGGGCCTGGCAGGGCTGGTATGCGGCGGGCACAGACATGCTGCTGGGTAAGGCCGCCTGGGGCCGCGGCAGAGGCAGGAAGAGCAGCTGCGAGGCAGGCGAGGCCAGGGTGCAAGGTGCTGGCCGTCGGGATTCCAGAGGTGGGCCAAGTCCCTGTCCCGCTGCTGCAGGTGGTCTGAGGCTCCCTGCCCCCTCCTCCCACCCACCTGCCCCCTCCAGACAGGCTTGCTGCTCCAGCTGCTGTCTGCAGGGCTGTGTGGGGCGGGTCACAGGCCCTGGCTGCTTCCGTGGCGGTTCTGGGGGCCGGCTCTGCCAGAAGGACCGGCAGGTGCCCCGTGAGGCCCCGGAGTTACAGACTTATGGGCCCAGTACTTGGCAGACAGCCGCCGTCTCATGGTCATCGCTGCCGCTGGAGAGCTGTCTCTGGCCCCACGTCCATGGGGAGGAGCCAGTGGGTCTGGCGGCAGCCGCGTCTTTGCAGAGTACCCTGGTACAAAGGTGCCGGCCAAGCCTGACGGGGGGGCGGGAGGCACAGACTCCCCCCGTGTGATGCTGGGAGGGGGTGAGGGCACAGCGTTGCTGCCGCCCCCCATCCCCAGTCCCATGCATTCTGCTGGGGGCACAGTCCGCCAGTGGCCTGTGAGCCCAAAGGATCTGCCCGAGGATAGACATGGCTTGAGCTGCGTGGACGTCTGTTGCCCCGGCTCCTGCTTTGGGTAGATGGCCGCTAGTCTGGAGGCTCAAAGCCTGGGGATGTTTCTCAGCCGGCAGGGCTTTCCTCCCCAGGGTCTTGTGGCTGTGGGTCCCTGGGCTCTCGGAGTCCTGCACCCCCCGTCCTCACTAGGGGCCCTCTCTGCGCAGCCAGGGCCAGCTGCTGGGGGCGCTCTGACGGGGGTCCCACCCCTTGCAGAGTGGACCCCGACCCCACGGAGCTGACTTACTTGATGTGGTGGGTTTTCTGCTCCCCAGACCTAAAGAATGATGTTTAATCCAGTCTTGGAGCAGTTGTCTTCTTGTTTTAACCCTGAATATGAAAAACAAGTCCTCACTACAGATAAATTGCCTCTCTCTCTTTTTTTTTTTAAGGTTTTATTTATTTATTTGAGAGAGAGAGAGCGAGCACAAGCAGGGGGAGTGGGAGAGGGGAAATCAGCTCCCCGCTGAGCAGGGAGCCCGATGCGGGGCTGGATCCCAGGATCCTGGGATCATGATCTGAGCCGAAGGCAGATGCCTCACCGACTGAGACCCCCAGGTGCCCCCCAATGTAGCATTCTTAAGTAATTTTACAAATTTTCGTTCCTGAAGCTTATGGGCGGCGGCAATGCGTCCACCAAATAAAATGAGTTTTCTCGGAGAGTGGGCGTTGCACTGGGGTTTGCATCGCGTGGGGTGAGGTTGGGGCGCTGGAGATGCGGGAGGCATCACGTTTACTGAATTTTTCCAAGAGGACATTGTTCACCTGCCGCCTTGCCTGCCGGGGACTGGGGAGTGAGCCCTGGGGGCCTGGCCGCCTGTTTCGAAGTCCTCTGCGGGGTCTCCAGTCTCTGCCCCTCCAGCAACTGTAGCTTCCGTCCTTGTGTTCTGTAAGTAGCTGCTGCTCGTCGCACTTGTGAGGGACCCACATTTAGCGAAATGAAGTCACGGCGTATCTCAGACTGAGGGCACAGCTCAGGGATTTTCCGCAGGCCTCCTGATTTCTGACTTCGTACCCCTAACAACAGCATTGCCAGTTTTCTCGTCTTCAGCGTTTTGACAAAGTCATGAGGACCTCCTCTAGCTACTCAGATGGGCTTCGACTCTCATGTTTAGAGGCAGGGGGTGGGGCCCCACCGGGGCGGCAACGGGGACCAGGGAACCTACCCGGACCGGGGGTAACTCGGCATAAAGAATTGTTAACTAGGCATAAGATACAGTTAACTTGGTATAAAGAATAGTTAAACCTTGGGGCGCCTGGGTGGCTCAGTCGTTAAGCATCTGCCCTGGGCTCAGGTCATGATCCCGGGGTCCCAGGATCGAGTCCGGCATCGGGCTCCCTGCTCAGCAGGGAGTCTGCTGCTCCCTCTGCCCCTCCCCCTCCCCCGGCTCGTGTACGCACTCTCTGTCTCTGTCTCTCTCTCATATAAATAAAATCTTTAAAAAAATTTTAAAGTAGTTAAGCCAGTATGAAGAATTGTTAAGTAGGCATGAAGAATAGTTAACCAGGCATAAAGAAGAGTTAACTAGGCCTAAAGAATAATTAACTTGGTATAAAGAATAGGTAACCAGGCCTAAGGAATATTTAATCCGCTCACTGCAGAGGGCTGCTGACTTGGTGCCCGACAGGTGGGAGCGGGTGTGCAGGGCCCCCGCTGCGGGGGCCGCACCTTACCCCATGACCATGGGTTCTTAGGAACCCAAACTTCAGGGTGCGAGTGTGAGGTTAGGTCAGACTTGCTCAGGAGACCTGGGCCCATTCCCCAAGAAGGTTCCCAGGATGCTCCCCACCCCATGGGACGGCCTCCCAGACACTGGCCGGGGGAGCCTGGGCCAGCCCACAAGAAGCCTGGGTGCCCAGCCACAGGGCTGGGGTGGGGCAGCTCTGACCTCCAGGGGTCCAGGCACCTAAATTAGGACAAGCTGTTGCAGAGGGTCCGAGGAGAGCTCGGTCCTCCCAGGCTCCAAGGGTGCAGTGCCGGGGGGCTTAAGGCAGAGCGGGCAGGCCAGGCACTGTGCTGGGGGCGGCTGGTGGCCGCGGCCCTCACCCTCCTTCCGGGACAGTGACCTCGACTCCGCGTTCCTCCTCCGCTGCACAGCTGCTGACCCCGTGTCCCGCGGCCCACGCCACCCATCACCCTGGTGACGGCTGCCTCTCTCCACCCTGGCCTGAGGGACACCTTTAGACTGCACACCTCGTGGGGGGACCACTCAAACCTCCCGCAGCTCCCACCACACTGAGGACAAGGCTTGAGCTCTTGGATGGCCTAGAAAGACTCATGGTCTCCTCCTCCTGCGTCTCCCCACTCCCCCTTCAGCACATGGGCTCCCTTGGTGCCTGGAACACGCCAGGCCCTGCTTGGCCTCAGCCCTGCTCTGCTTGCTCCCTGGAGCGCCAGAAGCACATCCTCAGGCATCCTGGCAACCCTCACCCCCATTCCCTCCCTCCATTCAGGTGTGTGCACGTTCCCTGGCTACCTACCTGAAGAACCGTCCTGTGCTACAATCTGTCCTCTGACTCAGATCTACTGTCCTGTTCTTTTGGCGACCAAACATAGCAGGGTTTGACTAGAGAAGTGGGGCCAGTAGTTTATCTCCCTGTCTATCCACCTATCTGCCCACCCATTCATCCTCCACCCATCCTCTCCCCCATCATCTCCCACCCATCCACCCATCCGTCCATCCATCCATCCATCCATCCATCCACCCATTCATCCATGCATGCATTCATCCAATCACCCACGTACCCACTCATCCACCCACCTATCCATCCATCC